GTAGAAATGCCCAAGGCCCTCAACCCTGAACCCCTAAACCCTAGACCCTGCACCCTGGACCCTAAACCCTAAACTCTAAACTCTAAACCCTGAAGCCCTAAACCCTAAACTCTGCACCCTGAACCCTAAACCCCAGACCCTGAACCCCAAAACCCTAAACCCAAAACCCAGGACCCTTAACCCTAAACCCTAAACCCTAAACCCCAGACCCTGAACCCCCCAAAGCCCTCAGCCAGGCTCCAGGAGCCGTTCTTCCAGCAGCTTCAGCGCAGCTCCGCCGGCAGCCAGGGAGGCTGCGACGTCTGGCAGAGGGTTTCGGGTTTAGGGTTTAGGGTTTGCAGGATTTAGGGTTTAGGGTTTAGGGTTTAAGGTTTATTAGGGTTTAGGGTTTATGGTTTAGGGCTTGGGGAAGCTGTATTCTTCGGGGTAAAGGGTACTGCAAAGGGTATGAGACGAGGTACTGTAAGGGGCAATATAAGGGGTACGGCAAGGGGTACAGTAGCCTTCATGATGCTCTGAGCCTCTTATCTACCCGCAACCCAGATCTCGCCGCCTGCGTAGTACTTCTCGCCAAGGGCATCCGCAAAGATGGCGGCAATCAGGTGCAAGAACAGGTTCGACCAGTTGTGCGTGACCATGCCTAGTTCGGGTTCGTAGCTCGGAGATCAGGGCTTAGGGTTTCCGGCACACAGACATGCTGTGGCGTTGGCTGATTATCGATTCGTCCATTTCTTCCCCGGCGTCTTGGCTGGGCCTGACTATCAAATTGATTAAGGGTCGTGATTTGAACTCGACTTCCTGAACCTCCGCCTCAACTTCATGCCACAAAACCTGAGACTCTAAACTCCCAAGCCGTGCTCTGTACATCTCGCCCCGAAGACGCGTGTGAGCTAGTGACCGCCTTAAGGTATCCTTGGCATGAAGCGTGGTGACTGGGCTGCTGCACATCCTGCTCCCTGAGACCCTAAACCCAAAACTCTGAATGGGTAGTTCTCTAAACTAGGGTCCCTTCTTAGGTCCCCAAAATAGTGCGGCACCCTTAAAATGGGACCCTTAAAGGGCCAAAACTACCCATGTATCTTATCCCCAATCCTCAACTCCTGAGAGCCCCGTAGCCCGTACCCTAAACCCCAAAACCCTAAACCCTGAGCCCTAAACCCTAAACCCTAAACCCTAAACCCTAAACCCTAAACCCTACCCTAAGCCTTAGAGCGCTAAAGCCATCCAAGCCGTCAGCCCTGAACCTGACGGCCAGGGATATCTCCTCGTGGCCCCAGCCCCCAACGGGTTTTGGCGCACCAGTAGGGTTTCGGGGGTTCCTTAAAAGACTTCCTTTAAAGGGATCTATACTTGGAGGATCATGGGACTTAGTAACTAGGGTTACAAACAAGGTAACTATACGTTTAAGTAATGATAACCCCAATTAAGGTAGTTATAACCTTACTTACTAAGTCCCATGATCCTCCAAGTAGGGTTCCATTTTAGGGTCTTCGTGATCATAATTTAAGGTCTTATTTGGTTTAGGGTCCAGGATGATTTAAGGAATCATGACAGCGAGAACTAGGGCGAGAATGGTGCTGGCGGATGGCACCTAATACCTCTAAACGCACACCGGCCGCAATGAGAACAAAAAGCAAACATGATGGAGCAAATGTGCGGCTTGAACTTCGAAAGGAACCCATTCGAGATTCCAGGTCAACCCTGGACCCAAAAGCACATGATCGCTAAATCCTCAAACACTAAGACCCAGCGATCCTGAACCCACAAAGCCTTTAAACAATCACAAAGAGCCAACATCTCCAAGCTCGCTTCCGCAAAACCTGAAGGCTGCCCGGCACCCCTACCCAAGCCAACGAAGCCCGGAAGGCGCAAAGATCCACCCAGGAACACAACTAGTTTGGGGAATGCTCAAGGCTTGTGATTGGGGCTTGGTTGTTTGGGATTTTGGCTCGGGCGCTTCAGGGTTTGCAGGCTTTTCTGGGGTTTAAGGTTGGGTTGTAGGGTCGAGGGTATCGGGTTGTAGGGTTTGGGGTCTAGCTTCTAACTCCACGAGAACGAAAACTGCATACCCAAAGGCCTACGGCGCGCCTTCAGCTCAAAAAACCCTCGAAAAGCCTACCAAGCCTTTCAACCCGAATATAGGGGCCTTAATATTAGAATAGGGTTTGGAGGCTCCTTATTGTAATTATAGTATTATTAAGGCCCCTACATTAAACCCTAAACCCTAAACCTTGAAGAACTTAAAACCAACAGAAGCCGTGCGGCACATTGCCGGGATGTCACGGTCTTTGGCCCAAATCGAGGACATGGCGCGACCTGCCATGGTGTTCAGGAGCTTCTCAAGAAGTAAACACGGTCTCTTCTATGGCTTTTGCATTCCTTTACATGTGGTTTAATGTTGTGCTTGGGGGTTTTGGGCTGAAGGAGGGTGGGCTTTACGATTGAATTCCGCAAAGACCACATAAATGATGGAGAAACATCAGGACCTGTATGTCCCATCCATAGGATCTCCATGCAGATGTGGTCCGTCTTGTCACCGGCCGATTAGCGTAGGGCCTTCACTAATCTGAACAAGGCTTTCCGGGTACTACTACAGGGTAGTTGTCTACATTAGGGTCCCTGTTTAGGTCCCCAACATAGTACGGCACCCTCATAAAACGGATCCTCAAAGGGACCCTAGTTTAGAGAACTACCCTACAATTATCATGTAACCCTGGAGCAGACGGTTGCTCATTTCTTCAGGCGGCTGTATGGCACGGCTGTGGGCTGTTGGGGTTTAGGGTGTGGGGTTTAGGGTTTACGGAGGTGGGGCGAGCATTGATCAGTGCAAGTCTGTGGGAACACCCCCAAAAAACTGGGGATCGAAGTTGGGATCATCCCTAAAGGCTCTGAAGAGTGGGAGATTAAGGTTTTGGGGTATCTTCACGTCATACTTATGTACCTGAACCTACCAAAACCTACCTTTTTTGTAGGGCCCCTAAAAATCCCATATGAGGGTTTGTCATAAGAACCTACAAAAAAAGGTAGGTTTTGGGTAGCTTAAGGTAGGGGCCACACACCCCCTTTGCGAGCATCGTAGCGAACATTTCCTCGGACAGGGAGATCGAGGCCCTAACTGCAAAACCCTGAAGACCTCGGTTTAGGGTTTTCGGGTTTAGGG